GCACGGCTGAGTCCAGCATCCCCCAGAGCCAGCAGCCGGCGGCAGCTGCTATGCAGACCCCGCGGCTCATGGCGCGGGCGTAGTGCAGGGGCTGGCAGATGGCAGCGTAGCGGTCATAGGCCATGACAGCCAGGAGCGCGCACTCGGCCCCCGCGCAGCCCATCAGGAAGAACATCTGTGCCAGGCAACCCCCGTAGGAGATGGACGCCTGCGGGCGCAGGGCGTTTGCCAGGACCTTGGGCACCGTCACTGAGGAGTAGCAGATGTCCAAGCAGGAGAGGTTACTGAGGAAGAAGTACATGGGGCTGTGGAGGCGGGGATCCAGGGACACAAGGGCAAGTATTGCAGAGTTCCCAAGCAGCGTGGCCAGGTAAACGACTAGGAAAAGAACAAAGAGGAAGGGCTGGCCATGGGAAAAGCCCAGGAGCTTGAACTCCGTCACATGGGTCTGGTTCTCACCCGCCATGTCGGTCTGTGGGCAGAAATGAGCACAGTGAGGAGGGGGTGGTGACAGTGAACCAGGGGTCTTGAGCACAACCACCCTCAAGGCAAGGGTTTCACTGGTAAGATGGTGTTGATCATAGCCACATAGTGATTGAAAGCTTCCTGTGTTGGGATTTCATAGACACCAGAATTTTAGAGTCCAGAGAGCTGCCTTTCAATGTTGGATCCATGACTGCAGGATAATCACACTGAGGAAGCCAAGGACAGTGTGCATCTAGACTAACCCACACCACCTGGGTTCTCCTGCTAGCTCTCCCCCCTGTCCTGATGAGAATATGAAGCATGTCTCTCTTTTACTGCGGTTGCACTTAGAAAGACTACATGCTTCCCTGCCTCCTTGAATGCCACAGCCTCTAAGGTTGTTCTTTCCCAGCTGTAGGGTTGGGGATGTGGCATCATGTTTTGCTAAATGGTGTGTGAAGCTATGATGGCTGTGTCCATATGATGAGCAAGACATGGGGAAGCACTTATTGCTTATAAACCTCAGCCAAGGGCTGATGAAAGTGGTGCTTGGTTGGTGCTTTAGGCCAGGGCAAGTGCCATGAAGCCCAGCAGAAATAGGCCAGATGCTTTGGTGTACAAATACAGCCTGGTTCAGCATTTCTTCTGCTGCAGAAATGGGGCTGAGAAAAGGTTAGAAACCACCTGCAGTCACCTTGTCTTGGGGTGCAGATTCATCCCAGCCAGCACTCAGCACAGGCACACACTGCACCTAGCCCATCTGAAACCAGGAGCTACTCTTGGCTGGGTGAGGAAAAGGGTCTAGGAGGCTGAAGCTTATGAAAGTAAGAAGGCAAAGGCTGGAAAGCACCAGGGCAGTTGGAAAGCACTAGGGTGGTCTGTGGCTGCATGACAGTACAGGCACCTTGGGGATCCACGGGTGATTTGGGACTGTGCATAGTAAAATCCTCTTCTCCCCAGGCAGCTTGTTTGGCTCCATTCGGTTGCCTCAGGAGATGTTCAAGGACTTAGTCAATAAGACCCCCTGTGAAACCGCCCTTAGGGACAAGGGAGCAGACCAGAGCTGCCAGATCTTTAAGAATACTTTCCACAGGGCGCAAGAGCCCTTGATCCCCAGGTGTAAGGAATCAGCACAGAAAGGCAAGAGACCAGCATGGCTGAGTCAGGACCTGCTGGTCAGAATAAAGGGCAAGAAGGAACTGCACAGGCAGTGGGAGCAGGAGCAGGGATCCTGAGAAGAGGACAGGGTTGTGTTGGGACAGGGTCAGGAAGGTCAAGGAGCAGCTGGAGCTGACCTTGGCAAGAGATGCATGAGTCATGATAAGGGCTTCTACAGGTATGTCAGCCAGAAGAGGAAGGTCAAAGAAAGTGTCCTGCCTGATGCACACAACTGGCAAAGTGGTACCAATGCTGGGGAGAAGGCGGAGAGACTCAACTTTTTGCCTCTGTTTTCACTGGCAACCTCTCTTCCCACAGGTCCTGAGTGGGTGGGCTGCAGGTCAGGAACTGGAGCAGCAACATCCTGCCCCTTGTAAGAGAAGCTCAGGTTTGAGACCGCCTGCAGAACCTGAACATACACAAGTCTATGGGACCTCATGACTCCCCCAGAGTCCTGAGGGAACAGGCTGACATAGTTGTCAAGCCACTCTCCATATTTGAAGAGTCATGGCAGTCAGGTGAAGTCCCTGGTGACTGGAAGAAAGGAAACATTACACCCAGTTTTACAAAGGGTAGAAAGGAAGACCACAGGAACCACTGACCTGTCAGCCTTCCCTCTGTGCCTGGGAAGGTCATGGAATAGATCCTCCTGGAAGATCTGCTAAGGCACATGAAGGATAAGGAGATGATTCAGAACAGCCAACATGGCTTCACTAAGGGCAAGTCCTGCCTGACCAACCTAGTGGCTTTTTACAATGGAGTGACTGCATCAGTGGACAAGGGAAGAGCCATGAATGTCATCTCCCTGGACTTCTGCAAGGCCTTTGATGCAATCCATCACAACATCCTTCTGTCTTAGTTGGATTTTATGGGTGGATAAGGAATTGGCTGGATGGCCTCATCCAGATGTAGGTGGTCAATGGCTTGATGTCCAGATGGAGATCAGTGATGAGTTTTGTTCCTCAGGGAACCAGTGCTGTTTAAGATCTTCATCAATGACAAAGTTGGAAGAGGCTCTGAGCAACATGGTCTGGTTAAAGATGTCCCTGCACATGGCAGGGGGGTTGGACTCAACATTGAAGCTGTCACCTGATGGCTGTGACAGGTCCCATTGCCATTATATAAAACCAAACTGAATACCACCAAAAAATCCTTTCCTCTTTCTAGGTGTGTTTTGGACAACTGAGGTCAATTGTCACAGCTCTTCATGAGATTAAACAGCACAGTTAACTTTCAGGTTGGTACCCTTGCTTTACACCCATTAATCTGTTTTTATTTTATTGGTTCAAACCACATCTCTATGTATTGGTCATGATTTTAAAAGGTTGAGCAATGGAGAATTCACTGCTTCTGTTGGGAGATTTTTTTCTGGTAGCTACTTACCACAAGAGACTGCCAAAGCACTGGTAGAAGTTGTGTGCTTTTGCTCCTGTTGGGATTGGTCAAACATCAGCTCTTTCTCATTCATAATTTTCAGCTTTCTCTTCTAGACTAAGGACTCTTTTTTGCAAACAGTATTTTCTCTTTGCTTCTACTTACTCACTGTGATCACTATCAGTGTTTGCTAAGCAGAAGAGCTAAGTTCTGATTCATTTCTCTTTTACTGTCCAGTTTTTCAATATATATATATATATATTTAATTTAATATTGAGGAAAACTTTCAGTCAAAAGACTAATTCTTCTTTTCCTCTTTGATATCCAAACCTGTTACTCTATCTTGGATGTGGGTGCTACAAGGCTGAGAAAACACCACCTGGCTGAGCTCTCCAGCAACTTCTTAGGTCGATGTATTCTTTACTTGTTTGGGGTTATTTTGTTATTAATTCTGCATACACTAGGCAGGGGCATAAGGGCTGTGTCATCCCACAGTCTGCAAATCTCACACCATCACTCTTCTCCCAGCCACAGCTCTGAGCATTTGGATGCAGGAGCAGCCCAACTTGCTTGGCCCAGCATTGCAGGCACGAGCAAGTGCCTAAGGGAGAGAGCTGGGAGAGACCACAGCAGCATTCCCTGGGAATCACCTCCTGTCTCCAGCTGCATCAGGGATGGATCTGGATAAATTCAACATTATGTATGTGTGCGCTTCCACAGTGCTAAGGTAGCTGGTGATTAGGGGCACAAATGCCTCTGTGGTGCAGGTGTGGGAGAAGGTTCTGTCCAGGACCTTCTTGGATGCATTTGCTCCTGACCTGTTAGCCAGAGACAGGAGTCTGCTGACACCAGCAAGGGTGGGGACCTGCCTGGTTCAGAGGAGGAACAGGAATCAGAGTGATAAACAGGTTAGGCTTGGAGGGGTTAGCTCCCTGTCTGTGCTCCAACTGGGGCTCAACACTTGAAAGGAAGAGCAGAGCAAGACATGTGTGAGCCCCTTGCATGCACCCATAGAATCATAGAATCATAGAATCTTAGGGGCTGGAAGGGACCTCGAGAGAAGGACCCATGGGCCCTTGGTTTGATGTGGGTTCACAGCATTGTATTCGCAGCAGCAGCAGCAGCAGGGAATTCTTTCTGCTGCATGAGGGACAGTGAGCTCTGGAGAGCAGATGATGCTCTTCCCATGCTGACAAATTCAGGCTGGATCAGGCAAGGAGCTACATCAAGTTCAGCCATAGGAGTCGTGCAGAGGAATGACCCTAATTTCTCACCATGCTCTGGAGCAGTGTAGCAGTCAGTGGACAGAGCCACAGGACAAGAGATGCCAGATTCAAACCCTTTGTTCTCAATAGAAAGAGAAATATATGGTATAAAACCCTCTCTTCTCCCATGGACTGCACAGGAATGAGCCTTGAGAGAGTCTCCACCTTGCCTCAGCTCCCTGGCACTGAAGGTAATTTCTTGTGGTAACTAATGACTTCCCATGTATTTCCCAGTGCTGCTGCAACTGTGCCCACTGCTCATCAGTCCAGAAAGGCTGGGTGGGGACAGAGAGGGAGCACCAGTGTCTTCAGGGCTGGGGAGACAGCTGGTTTCTGTCATTCACCCTGGCAGAAGGAGGGTTGCAACCTCACCCCTGGCTGGTGTGAGGGTGATGCTGGTTCTGAGCCCAACTCAGCTCTGAACCAGTCCCTGAAGCAGGGTGCCTCAAGTTGCTACTGAGCATTCTGCACAGCTCCACCATTTTGGGGTTCATCCTGTCACTCTTCCTCCTACCGGAGGCCAGATGTGCTCCATGCCCACCCAGAGGAGCCAGATGCTCTTGCAGGAGGATGGGGCTTTCCTCGCCAAGCCACCACATCCCATTTGCAGGCAGGTGAGGAGACCAGGTAGCTTGGACATAGAGCCAAAGTACTGAGCCCAGTCCCAGTTTGAGGTGATGGCTGGACTGAGGGACCTTGGCAATAAGACAGGCTTTATTTCTCTTGAAAAGGACTGGTTTGCTGTCTTTGAGGCACCACCAGCAGCCAGAGCCTGCTTTCGTGCCCAGACCACCCAGCAGCCCTGGTGCCAGCACCAGGTTTGCCCCCAAGTAGGGTGCCAATAGGGCCCCCTGTGAGGGTCCCACCACGAGCGAGGCCCTGGCCCCCACGGGCAGCAGTCCTGCCCACCCAGCCCTCCCTTACCTTCATGTCCATCCAGTGGATGGTATCCAGAGCTTGGTAAGAGGGAAAACCCAGCAAGGTGCCCAGGTGCTGTCCCTTTGTCTTACCTGCAGGAGGAAAAGCTGGTGTGTCCTCAAGCTGCAAGCAGGGAGAGGCTTTTAACCCCTCAGGGCCCTGGGGGAGAGGCTTTGAGAGGCAGCTCTTGCTCAGTGGCAGAGCAGAAAAGCACCGCCCAGGTCAACCCACACCAGTAGGACCTGAGCCCATGGGACAAAGCCCTCCTGGCACAGGACCCACCTCA